AGACCAGAAAAAAATCTATATAAATGACGAAGTGCTCACACACAAACAAATCCAATATTTCTGGCTTTTGTTCGCCTTTTGTTCCCTCAGAGTTCACCAGGGTCAGTACCGCGGCTATAAGCTCCTCTCACGCCCCAGAATGACAGTCCCATCTGTCAGCCATCCTCCCCGGGACCTTCCGCATGCACATCAGCACAGCTGGCCCCGTTTGCAGCACAGGAGGCATGCCTCCCGCAGTCTATCAACTATACACGCATAAACAATTATATACAATATTACAGTCAGAAAAACAGCAATTTTCCTGCTAATATTGTTCCTCTACTGTAGCTACTGTTTAACCTCAATGTCACGACAACAGCTCATCCGAATCAGTGTAAAACTAGTTTAACAAATGTATATTTTTACATGTCACCAAAATCACCAAAACTCAGTAGTTTCTAAATAATTCAAATAGAATTACAGCAAAGTCAAAGGAATGCTCACCCTCTTACATCTTAAATACTTTTGAGTGTAAGATCAGAGTAACCTACCTGATATATAAATCCTTTATTGTGGTCCACTGAGAGCATGATGCGCCTCCTGTAAGGTTGGGGCGGGATGCCCGCTAACTCCCCTTGTGCTTGCAGCAATGGTAAGACGAGAGGCTAAGGCTCAGGGCCTGAGCCCCACTCTGGACTGGAGAGTGTTTGTTAGTGATTGTGTATGAGAGACACAGAGAATAGCAGACAAAGATAGAGCCAGCTCCTCTGTTGGGCTATCAGTCAGACCCTCTCCTCTCCTCAGCCGCTCTCCTCAGCCGCTCTTCCCATGCTGGAGTATGGCAGCAACCTCACTCCGAAACCCCCACGAACACAACATAAAAACAAAAGCAGGGAGCTCAGCACAGCTCCGACACTGCCTCTGCCTCTGCCTCCAACGGCTTTCATCCAGGGTAGCATCAAATGTTTCTGACAAGCGTCCATCCGCCAATCCCCCCAGAGAGATTAGCGCTCTGACATCACCGATGCTGTGCCGTGCACAGTTCTGCTCTGCTGAGCCTCCGAGCTCTGTAGCTCTGTTACCTAAGAGAAGCCTAAGGTTGCAGGGAGTCAAAGAACACCATCTTGCATGAGGGGCACTACGCAGCCCCAGCACACCTCACAGCTACGCATACCATGGTCACTACACACCTCAAGTAGATGAAGCAGTGAGCAGGGTTGGCGTTGCAGTTTTACTGTATACAGTATGTGCATCTTTAAGTGCATGTGTCTGAGCGCGTGTGTGTGTG